GCTCAGGGTCTTCAGGGTGGGTGGGCTGGGGGAATTGGGGAGTTGGGCAGAGACCAGGCATCTCTGAAACCTCCATGCTCATGGAGCCAGGGTCCCCATGCTCATTCCCCTGCACCCCCAGGCCTGGGCAAAGGTGAGTGGGCGGTATGAGGGATGCCCTGAGGACCCAGCCAAGTGGAAGACCAACTTCCGCTGTGCCCTGAGGAGCACCCGCATGTTCGTGCTGCTGGAGGACCGCTCCAAGTGTGGTGATGACCCGCACAAGGTCTTCGCCATCAACCCAAGTGAGCCTGGCCTATGGGGGCCTGTGTTGGGGATGGGGTGGGCCATCTCAGGGTGCCCTGCTCATGCCGCTCTCCTTCCAGGTGCCCTCTGGCATGGCGAGGAGGGAGATTTCAGCAGCCCTGACCCTGCAGAGGATGAGCAGCCGCTGCACCAGCAACCACAGGTAATGGGGTGGGCTCGGGGGGTGTCCCCACTGCCGCTGCTCAGGCATTGCACCCCCATGTCCTTGGGGGTGCTCCCAAGCTGGAGCCCAGCACCCAGCTGAAATGCGGGGCAGTGGGAGGCTGGCTGCCCCCATACACAGTGGTAAGATCCCATCTCGCTTCCCTTTGCAGCTGGAACTCGCACCCCAGAACGTGGCCCCAGAAATCGCTTCCCAAGGTAGGCACTGGTCCCCCAGGGTTTTTTTTGGGGGGGGGAGGAGGAGGGGGCACCCTGGTAGGCTCAGCCAGGGCTGGTTTTGAGATTGTGAGACCTCCCATCCGCTGTGCCCCAGGCAGCCCCAACTCCGCTCAGCACCCAGCACTGGAGGACCTGGAGGTGCTGCAGTGGGTGCTGCAGCAGTGCGACATCTCCCGCCATGACCTTGGCCCCCCGGCACCATCCTGGGTACCTGCAGGTGAGACCGGTGCTCGCAGGGTGCAGGGTGGGTTAGACTGTGGGTGGGTGGCACCAGCCCCTTCCCACCGCTGACTTCTCTGCAGGGGATGCCCCCCACCAGGACGCTCTGCTCCAGCCTCACCCAGACCCCAGCCAAAACAACTGCCTCCCCCCGTCGGCATTTCAGCAATGGGTGCCTGCAGCAGAGCAGTCCCCCTTGGATGCCTACAGCCCCCCGGACCCCATGCTGCTGGTGGAGCAAGGTGGGTGCTGTGGGGCAGGATCCGGCCCTGGGGATGGGAACGCCATGACAGGGGTGGGTGGGAAG